ACCCCCAAGGAGATGGATTGGCCAAGTGGCAGCATCGATAGACTCAAGCGTGACAACAGTAATGAGGTTGGCCCAGGATAGGGCAGTGTTTCTTTCTGCTGTGCTTAAGGTTGCTATGGGTTGATACTGACTCAATGGCACCTAACAACAACAACTCAACAGCACTCTGTCTCAAAAGGCTACCATGAGTCAGAATTGATGAAGTGGTACACAACAACCATTCTTATACAGGTTGTTGTTTGCAGCCTATCCAAGCATTTGTCAATTATTTTTTAACCATTCTTCTATAGGTTGTTGTTGCAGACCACCACATCAATTCTGACTCATGGTAGGCTTATGTGACAGAGTAGAACTTTCCCATAGGGATTTCTAGGATACAATCTTTACTGGAGCAGATTTCTAGATCTTTTCTACCATGAAGCTACAGGTGGGTGGGTTGGAACCCCCAACCTTTCATTAACAATTAAGTACTTTAACCATTGTGCCACCAGAGCTCCTTATATAGGTACTGCTGCCGTTGTTATTGTTGTTAAGTGCTGTCTAGTCATTCCAACTCATAGTGACCCTGTATATTGTTTCCAAGTAATGGCTTATGAGTTTGAACCACTGACCTTGTGATTCAAACGATTTTGCGGCCTAGCTCTTATCCTAAAGCACCACACCAGGACTCCTATACAGGTACTAGAAAGCATAATTTAACAGTAAGATCTTCCAATCAAAAGAGTCCCACTTAACTTGTCATAAATAATCAGAATTTATCAGCTGACATCTTACCTAAAGAATTCTGGTGGGGGGGACACTTTAGAATATTCACAATTAATCCAAAAATTCATTTGCTGGTAAAATTAAATATCATGATAGGATACTATTTCAACCATGCATTAGAATAAAACCAAATCACTTAGACCTAAGAGAAAAATATTGGATTTTATTAAATTTGTTATATTGGATTTTATTAAAACCTAGCAGTAAATATGAGAACACATCATAGTAACTATGCTTCCTAGTAATAAGAATCACTAATGAATGTGAACCTCCCCAGTCTGGTGAAAAGTTGGATAAACCTATATGTTACCAAATAATTTATAGTTATATCATCAGTTGCATATTTTTCTTCTTTTTCTGATGTTACATAAGTTCTGAAACATGCTTCTGAAAAAATTAAAACTAGAAAGGTGAAGATTCTCCACAAAAATTCAAATAATCTTTTGATTCTTATTTCAGATTTTCAAATCCCACTGAGGTGGGCAGGCAAGAAATGCCCAACTTCTGAAATGCCATTGGTGTCTTCAAGAAAGCATTTTATATACAATTACAGCCAATTCTCACAGATCAAGCTCCATCATTTCAGAGACCATTACCTTCCGAATAAAGTTGACATGGCATTCACCCTTCTGCACACTCGGAGGGCAGTCTGGGGGCACCTGGTAGCCAGTATGATCTTTGCTCTGCTGTGCTGCATACAACACTGCTGACTGGAAATATATCTCAATGATGTTCTTGTCTCTGACCACATTGGTGATATCAAAGCTCTGAATTAAGAGGAAACAATACAGATAAACTCATGATGTAGAAGTACTTTCCTGGGAAAAATTGTAGATACAGGCACAATATAAGATAAAATTATGCATAAGATAAATAAAATGTATATAAGTTTAGCTTCCTTACAGTAGGAAACAGCTCCTCTCATACCCACCCACCCCCAAAAAATAACTATATACAGGGGGGCAGAGGGCTACAAAGGCAAGAAGTGACTGGCTTACAAGCTTTCAAGAGGGAACCTAGATCCAGAGGGCCTGGAGGAAGGTAGAATCTCCAGTGAGTAGTATTC